GTGAAGGACAGGAAGGCCTGGCGCAATATGGTTCATGGGGTCACGAAGAGTCGGACACGACTTAACGACTGAACAACAACAACAACAACAATAAAACTAGGAAGAGGGTTGGTCTTATCTAGAGTTTTGCTCTACTTCACATGTTAATTCCTATGGAAGGGGAGTTCTCATAAGTTTACTTTTCATATGCCGGTTGACAAACTTAAGGACCAACCTAAGATCAGCACAAAGGTTACATCCAAGAATTGATTAAGCTTTCTTACTCTGCAAGAAGTAACACAATGGCTAAAGTTTACTGTCATATTAACTGCTCAGCTCCTCCCTTCAGGTCTTAACCACAGCCAAGCTCAACGTTAGCTAGGTGCCATCAAGAAGGCTCCAATCTTGCCGGGGCGAATGCTCATCATCTCTATTTGTCTCTAGTAAAAACTTGTAGTTCTTTTAAGGACATTCCTGTATTTTCATCCATCATCCACTTGCATCACATGGTAAAAGTCTGAGAGTTTCAAAGAAGCAGTTGATCTACTTTATGCAGGACTGACTGACTGGGTTTTCTTTCAGTTCATCATATTGTTAGAACTGTCTCCAAATCTATAACTGGAAGGTGACCATCTTCTTTCTCTTTCTCTTCATTCAGCTTTCAGAGCCATACATCACCACTGGAAAGACCACTGCTTTAACTCTTTTGATCTTTATTATCAATGTCATTCAAATATCATTATTCTTCATGATTTTATATGAGTTTGCCATTGGTTTTTTCCCTAGGATTAATCTATCTTCACAAGTCCAAGAAAACAAAGTCATGTATCACCTTTACTTCTTTGCCATCAGGTATAAGATCACTAAGCATACTGGTTGACATTACCTTTGTCTTCTTAATGTTCAATAATAACCAACATTTTTCATTTACCCCTATGAAGGTAGCTTGAGTAAAAGAAATAAACCTGTTCTATCCATAGAGGAGACAGGCTAAAATCTCTGAAATAAAATGGTTGGAATGAAATAAAGTAAGAGGCCTTAGCTGTCCCCTTTGCACTAACTTTGCATTGATTAAAGTTAATCAATGTTCTGTTCCCTGTTTGGATTTATTGAAGTATGAGATATGTACAGAATATTTCCTATAGAGTATGAGCAACCTATTGAAGTTGTAAAGCAGAAAAGACCTATTGCAAAACTTGATATCCAAAGGTTGCTTCTACTGGTGGATGAAGATCATATCTGCAATATTTGAGGAATGTGGATAGGTTAGGCAACATTGCAGCTCTGCAAATATCCAGCAAGGACGCATTAGCAGAGAATGCTAATGTGGATGCAGCCCTAGTAGAATGGGAATGATACAACAGAGTTTTTACTATCAGAGACCATATAAATACAGGCTCTAAACCTGTGGTGCTGCACATTTTTCTTCCAGGGAAGTAGAGTTAAAAGAAAGAATCTGTGATGGAATGGAATTATGAAGGCCAGACTCAGGGAGAAAAACATTTTCTTTCATCTCTTGAGGCACGAGGGAAAGAT